GTCATCGGTGGAAAATCAATCCCCACACATGACATCTGGATGGATCTCACTGGTTATGACTACTCACTAAAACTCCAGGAAACTCCATCCTGTAGCCAGTCAGTCACTAGCGAGCATCACATTAATTTTGTATAGTTGGTTTTTAAGGGTTAGTTTTGTTTTTACGAGTTCGACCACGCACGGATTGAAATCAGTTAGAAGACCATTGAAAACTAGTTACAGGGGGAATTGCACAGTCAGCTGTTTCACCCTAGTTTTGAAAAACCATCATCAGTACTTTTGTTAACTTGGCTAACCGTTTAAACATCAAAAGAAATTGAATTGATTTTCAACTTTTTCAATGTTCAATTACATGTGTGTTATAAGCAAAAAAGACATCAGAATAAACAATACCCCCATACTATTCAATGTTCAATATGTGAATGGTGATTTCAATAATAATAATAATAATAATCACAATTTAAAGAGAAGCAAGACATTAAGGAGAACATAAAAAGGTACTTCTTTTCTTTCTTACTATGTTATATTGCAAACAGATGTGTGTGGAATGAGGATAAGCAGAATTGTTAATAATTGTCGCATTTTTTGAAAAGTATTTCTGTGTGGTTACATCTCGCATCATATTAAGAATAACAGGTTTACAAATCTAAAACTTGACATTTTTATCATCTTAACATCTCACCTAGCATAAAGTGGCAAAGTTAAACTTCTCTGACCTGCTTGGTTTATTTGCGGAACTTTCGTTGTCCCCCTTCTGGACAGCATCCCCCTTCAGCGTGATCTTCAGCATAAAGTGAACTGATTTATATTTTTCATGAGTGATAGAATTGCATCTCCCAGTAACCATCTTTACATTTGTGTTGATAATTTTTATTGACTTAGATTTTAAAGTTTCTTGCCATATGATTTATTTTTCACTAGCTGGTTTATTTGGTTTGTATTAACATGTATGTTAATTGCATATTCATTTGAGTACCAAGCAGGCTTCTAGGAATTCCCTGACTGCAATTTTGGTGTTCCCTCTGTTTGAAATTTTGACATTATCCCAATCAAATTGATGTCCATAATTATCTACATACATTGATATGAAAGAATGCATATATCGTGTCTTTTCACGGCTGATTTGTGTTCCTGGATTCTGATTCTAAGGAGACGCCTACTTTGGCCGATGTAATGTCTGTTACATTTCATACAACTTATTTTGTGAATGGTATTAATTTAGTCTCCTTTTTCTGTTGGATATTTCGGTTTTGCACAATATCGAATGAAGTGATTGTGCTGGCTTGCCGGCTGGCTTGTGTGCTATATCTATTTCAAACGGTCTCAATATTTTAGCTGTGATTTCAGAGATATTTTTTGTATATAGTAGGATATATTTTCTTGTGGTATTTGGTGATGGTTCCCTGTTAGTGCTGTGACTCGAGTTAAAACACTACCTGATGAAATTTCGCGGATATCCATTCTTTCTCAAGTCCGTAAGTAGGTGTTTTTTCTCTATTTTATTCAACACTTGAGTACTACAGTGTGTTTAAACTCTTTTAAACAACATCTGTACACAGTTTCTTTGGTTGGTGATGAGGTTATTACTACCATAGTTGAGTATTTGGTCTGTGTACGGTGATTTTTTACACACTTGTGTTTCTAAATTTCCTGTGTTAGTTCTCTTGATTAAGACATCTAAATATGGGATTTTATTATCTAATTCTTCTTCTCTTATGAATTTGATGTCTTCAAATATTATTATTATTGTATCCTTTAGCTCCTAGAGGAACATAGGGCTTCAGCTGCGCACCTCCATTGCCGTCTGTTTTCTGACAACTTTTTCACTCCGCTCCAAGTCTGCCCACATGCTTTCATCTCCTCCTCACATGACCTCCTCCAAGTCACCCTCAAACTGACGACCAACTCGCCGCTTCCCTTTCGGGTTACACTCGAGCGATGGCTTGTCTAGTGATGTCACTTGATGCTTTCCTCAAAGTATGGCCAATCCATCTCCATTTCTTCCTGCCTATTTGTTTCACAATCGGTTCCTGATTGGTTCGCTCCCAATTAATTATTAATTTGTGGGTACATTCCAAATCATTTCTTTTGATTATTACAAATGTATCATCAACGTATTGTACCTAGATTTTTGGTTTAATTATAGTTAGAGATATTAATTCTAATCTTCGCATGACGGAATCAGCTATCAATCCTGATATGGGCAAACCCATTGGTGTTCCTTTTATTTGTTAGTAAATTTGATTATTGAATTGGAAGTATGTTGTAAGGACCTTTCGAAAGCTTCGAACTAAACTAACTAGCTCCTGTAATATTGTGATTATAAGTGTTTTTAAAAATTAGATGCAATAATATACCAAATGCTGGAAGTTCTATAGTGTGACATTTGTAGTGTTATCGAATAAAGCATATTGTTATTACTATTATTTTCTTGAAAGTCCCTGGAGGAACCTGCTCCATACTGTCATAACATTTCGTAAGTACTAATGTGGTGTGAGCTGGCTGCGCACAAGCTGAAATTTTAGACAGAAGTTTACGTCAATGTTGTACCCCTAATCTGGGTCATGAGAGAAAAACAATAACAAAGCTCAACCTTGAGGAACTCACCGACCAATCACAGCACACGTAACGTGTTCAAATACGATTAGCAGAAATATAGCCTAATTTTCTGAGAAGCGGTCACAAGCAGTACAGAATAAGCTTCAGTAAGAAAACAAACCCATCAGAACACAGTGCTTCTCCGCTGTCAATAATGCACATAGAAATCCATAAATATCTGCTGATTTTCTCAATAAGTTTAAGTAATAGAATAAACAACATGAAATTATGGAAAGAAACGAACAGGTGAGAGCCGATTACTCAACAAATTTGTAGGAGAAAGTGGAGATGGATTGATCGGAAGTAAATTGAGGAGACCGTCAAATGACATTGCTTACCAGGCCATCGCTCGAGTAGGATTCAAATGGGATGCCACCAGTGGGTGATTGGTGCTAGCGTGAAAAGGAGGAGATCGTATGGCTAGGAGGAGATGAGAGAGTTTGGTCTATCTTGGACCCAGCTGAAGAGGATCCCAGAAAACAGAAGAAAGTGGAGGTATGCTGTTGAAGCTAGCAATATGTTCCACTTTGAACCCAAGGGGATAATAATAATAATAGTCACGTACTGTTGAACTGTGGAAATAGTATTCAGACGTTAACACCAACAAAAACAATGATTCTTACTGTGAAAACAATATTCCTTTGCGACTAACTGTCTGTATCACACCACCACAAAGTCACACACACACTGTTATTAATGAGACAACATTTCATCAGCTTGCTAAGTTTCCACACCGCCGTTTACACATGTATATATAATACTGAAGCACCTAATTTTCTCAGTTTCTGTCAGTGTATATAGTATTATATATAGTATATGTATATATAGTACTATATGTAGTACTTCCGTGAGCATTAAAAACTAGGGAGGTCGACATGGAAAGGACAAAACTTATATTTTAATAGCTTTTGTCAAGATAGCTCTAAATGCGGACTAGTCAAGACTCTGTACTAAAGAGCGAGGAGAAAATGTTCTATAGAGAAATTAGAGGAAGAGTTTGGGTTTCTTGTAAAGATGTTGAAGAGCAATCGGTACCCTCAAAGGTTCACCAACAACTATGGAAGATCTGAAGTCACAAATGTAAAACAAATTACAGTGAGAAAAAAACCAATATAAATTCAGCTTGATTATGAAGATGAAAACATTGCAGCAATGATCAACTGAAGTCTGAGTGCATCACTAACCATAGCTTATCCCGCAGCTAAGCTCATTCCCGTCTATCGAACAACTTGCTCCTTGGTGCAATCAAAAATTGATAGATATCCTTCTCATGTATATACAAATTTACATGTGCCTGAGGGAGCAGTTACATTGGAAGAATAGAAAGAAGGGCATATCTACGATTTTCTGAACCTGTAACAAAAAGCTTATGTCTAAAGGGAACAAATGCTTTAAACAGTGTTACCGCTAGGCATCTCCTTGATACGGGTCATGTGGTGGACGTCGAAAAGTCGTTCAAAATTATCAATAGGGGCAAAAGAGCCCAATTCAACTCAAGTTTGCTGAAGCCATTTCTATCAAGCGCTTGAAACCTGATTTGTGCGTCCAGAAAGGAGCGGTTATCAGTCTTTCTTTGCCCTAAATATTTTCATCTCTCTTTCATCTGAATGCATAAAGCTAAAAAGTTCCCATTGTGTATGTGATATGTACCCACATGATGTGTGTGTGTTTTGTTTTTGACAGTCTATTATATTTGTTATGTGTAAATGGATCGATATTTCATTCTAAGTGACAGTATGCTTTTGTCTGTCCACTAACTAAAAAACATGTATGACCTTGTTGTCACATGACATTACAACCAATCATGTTAAGACTGTCTATTATTGGTTCATGTGTATTAGTCATTTCCATGTATAATCTTACTTTATTATTCTGGTTCACACACATTTCGTACATTCGTACCATTTCACTCACACACTTGTGTGACATTTATTTTCCTTGTCTGGAAAAATACAAGTATCATCGTAAACCTGGTGGTCTTCTGATTTCCCTCTTTCCGTGACAAGACAATTTAACTACTCGACGAGTACATAACAGTATGATTATTATTGTTCGGAATAGTGTTTAAAATTGCACACATATATATGTATATATGATTACTGTATGCATATATTGATCGATTGATGTTTGTTTGAAATGAACTCTGTGCAAGTATGTTAAAATTGTTGTTGTAGATATATTTAATAATGTCTTTGCCCTGTAAGCAGCTGACGAGAAGGCAACGAATTAAAAGATGGTACCACTTTATTCTGCTAAAACTGTAGTTCTTTCTTTGTTCAAATTCACTAAGGGGAATAAATGTATGAGGGAGACTTTTATTTCACGTTTGATATTGAGCATAACAATTACCTATAACATACTCATTTGATTCTTTTCTCTTGTTACTTACTTTATTTTATCAGATAAAATCGATATTTGTTCTATTCATCGAGGATATTTATGTACTAATGGACATTGTATCCCAACTGGTCGAGATTTCTTTTGTGAATGTAATCCTGGTTTCACACTGTCATATGATCGTCGAAGGTGTATAAGTAAGTTCAAAAGATATTTATGTATTAATATGCGCGAGAATATCTACAGAATGTCATCGCCTTCCTCCAAAACGGGCAATGTTAGCTGATATAGAGTCAGGCTGGAAAAGAGCTAGTGGTGGTCGAACCAAAAAAAATGGCGCAAGTCAATGAAATCCACGACAGTTAGTTTAAGCCAGCCACGTAGGAGGGTGTAGACTTCCTGACTGGTTGGGGTCCCTAGGACGTTGAAAACCAATGAAGGCTGAAGACAATCGGTGATATGCCTCGAAATCGTTCTCAATGGCTGGCGCAGTTGCATCCACTCCTCTTGACTTATAATTTCCACTGCAACTAAATTGTTCTTCGATATTGCTATTCCTTTTGTTTCATATCCCTGTCTACTGTCTTTGTTATGCATTTCTTCTACTTTCTTCTCCTGCTTTGTGTCCTAGAAGGAGTGGGGTGCGGCGACTTGAACTGCTGCACATTGGTGCAAAGTTCTATGTAGAAAACAGACAGACAGATATGCCTGAGGTAAATTTAGAATATCAAGCTACTTACTACCTATGTGACCAGTAGTGATTAAGCACAAAAGTAAATATTTGAGCAGTAGTTACTTAGTTAGTTAGAATTCGTGACCTTTGAAGACAATCTCAGATACTCTTGAAGAGCCGCTAGTAAGATAATAAACGAACAGTAGTGTTAAAACAGTTAGTCTATTTGATGAATTTGAATCAGACATTTAGAGGACAAATTTCGTAAGATGATATCGTCATTTCGTAATTCCTCCTCAATCGTTTTACAACCAACATGGTTAAGAATAATAAAATAAAGTTTATGACAATTACTCAGTTATTTAAAACAAAACAAAAGTACATACTAGTGACCAAACATATTTAAAGAGGTCAAGTATACTCGTCATGGTAGGCGAAGGCTGAAGTCTATTGTTTTGGTTTTGTATACATGCTTTAGGATGTATGTGATTAATCCCCAAAAGTGTTTCCATCACCTTTAATAACCAACCTTTAACTAGAGTTATGTGATGAAATAATTGTGAAAGAGTCATTAATATTGATTTTTTTGACCTGAGATTACTACGTACTTCGCAATGAATGACGATGGATTTCTATTCAGATTAGTACTTCTTTTCTACACAAAGTTCTGGCTTAAAGTCATGAATGGCCAAGGCCTCAGCTGTCTTTAGAAGTCTATAACGAAGAAAACGCCGCCAACATAATAGCATGGATTCTGGAGATGGTCTTAAAATCATGGTCAGGGCAGGTAGAGTGACAGGAGTCGATCAGGTGTTCTAGAATGGAGCATAGCACATCCTTTGTTTTTCCCTTGTAAAACCATACAACTGGAATACGTTCTTATTTTGATGTGGGAAGCGTCCTCTGGCTACCAACAATATACCTTGCTCCACAATAAGACCAGGTGAACTGATAGATGCACATGGAGGCGGCCAGACGAGGGAGCTTATCTTTTGCAGAGATGGAGAACGACTTGTGGCTGGTGAACGTCATTTGTAATTGTGCTGCAAAGAACATCTTACAGACTGCTTTAGAGAGACTAGGTGTATATGCGATTGTACAGCATGAGGATGATATCGCCGCCGAAAAGAGGAGTAACTCCTCACTGAACGCCTATTCTTTTATATTAACTAGAAGTCAAGGTATGAGTGACAGCACTACAGACTTATAACATGGGATGTAATTAAGCCAACAAGTAACCAGCACTTTTCAATGTCGAAATGGGTTTTTCCTAAGTTATTTAGAGAAGTCAATATATTCAATAATTCCAGTGGTGAATAGCTGCGAAAGCTCCTTTCAGGTGACACTACCTTTAGGTACTGCTATGATAATGACCTTCAGTGGAATTCAAAACGTACGATTCATCCTATTTGAAACCAATTAGCTGAATAATCGCGTGAGACTCGATACCAATAACTATCCTTTCAAGCAACTGAGACATTACAGCCATATCATATCAGTAAAGAATGCATGCATATTGAGCTGGCGAGTTTCGAATGAGACGAAATAAGCATCTTAAATCCCATTGCTAGTCGCTCTTAATCGAAAAACACCACAATTCTTTGATTAGACATTACTAACTAGTGTGTTATGTCTAGTCCTTTCTTTGGTGCAGAATGAATTCTATCATTCGGCCTTACAATGTGGCCATCATGCAACTAGCACGAAACCTAGTTCAAGTAAGGCTTCCTGCCAACTGCCTTCAACTATCTAATATCATCAAACCAATGTGCACAACGATGGCAAGCCACTTAGTGGAATGGTGGTCACATTGTAAACCTGACTGACAGAAGCCAGTCTGCACCAAACGAAGGACAAAACACATCACACTAGTTCCTAGTATCCAGTTAAAGTATCTAATACAATTAGTCCTACAATGGATCAATCGCGACCCTGAATAGCTGGCTCACTTGTAACGTCTCTGACTGCAGAACTCACTTGGTGGCACGCATTCGAATCTACCTTGCTGACCAGTGAGTGCCAACTAGCACGAGATATTGGTCCAGGCAAGGATTCCTATGGTCGATTGCGTCCAACCACTGAATAACACCACAATTCGTTAGTATTAAATTCATATCGATAAGAAAGCTACCGCGTTTACATTTAGAAGTGTAATTTCAGAATTCCATTACAGCGTAAACAACTACAAAATAAAATATGCAAACAATTGAGTGTTTTAATGCTAGTTTCCATTGATTTGAAAAATTGTTTTTAAAACATTTTGCTAATTTTTAACACATTTAATTAACCATTCCATTTCTAACCCAACCCTCTTATCTTTATCTTGTTCTGAATTAAAGATAAATGTGAAGAATTAGGACCAAGTGTATGCCCAAACGGTTATTGTATTGCCTTATCTAATGGTGATTATGAGTGTCAATGCGATATTGGCTATCAAAGTACATCAGATCGTAAAAAGTGTATCCTACCAATGGATGATTGTAAGTGAATATTATTCTATACTGATCATGCTATCTAGTTTGATGATCGGAATATTCTTTGTTGAAAGTTTTTTTTTTTTAATATTCCTTTACGTTTCCAGTGGAACACAGGGCGCCTTCAAGCCAGAGGCTTGAAGTCTGTGTAGCAGTGGTGTTTATTTTCACGGGATGAGATTGCTAGCGCCCCATGCCTAGATCAACCTTCCCACTTTATCAGTCTTACTACTGGGTTAGCGAGGTAAAGGAGTGCGTGTGTGGCCGAGGATAGAAACCTAAACTACATGAGGCGTGGTTGGCGAGGATTCTACCGCTGTACCACCGACCCACTCTGTTGAAAGTAATTTAATTAAAGTATACACTGAAAAGTCGAATACATTTGTCCTGAATAAATCCAGCATGCTATTTTTAATAGCTATGGGCTCACCACTAGGCCCTCTGCTTGCGGATTTCTTTATGTCGAAACTCGAAAACACTTGCCTAAAGAATATGATTGACAATTTTGAACTCTACAAGAGATACGTCGACGACACCTTCATCATCTGCAACAACGAAGAGAATTTAGAAGATATCCTGAAGTTCTTTAACAACTGCCACCCTGCGATTCAGTTCACACTAGAGAAAGAGTCTAACTCAAAGATATCTTTTCTTGACGTTCAACTAACGAGACGTCAACAAGACGGTACATTAAAAAGATCCATCTACAGAAAGCCAACGTGGAACGGACAGCTCACTAACTTCCACAGTTGGGTGCCTCTATATACTAAACGAAACTTAATCCGTTCAATAAGCCACAGAATACGTAGTATTTGCAGCCTGGACGCCATAGAAGATGAAATGAACACTCTTAAGAAAATCCTCCTTGAGAATGGCTATCCAGAAAGATTTATCACAAAATCAATGAAACCCAGACCAGAGAAGCCGCCCATACCCAGTGCTCCAAAAAGACTTCTCTACATGAACCTACAGTTCAATGGAGACCAATCTACAGAAATACTGAGAAATCGGTTCTCCCGCTCATTGAAGAAAACCTTCTTTGCAGCTGCATTGCGACTGACGTTCTCCACGAGACCAATGATTCGTATGAACGTGAAGGATAAGCTACCACTGTTGGCCTCATCTATGTGCATCTACCAATTCACCTGCTCGTGTGGAGCCAGGTATATCGGCCGTACTCAGCGTTCGCTATCCAAACGCGTCAACGAACATTTACCTTCATGGTTTTATAAAGGAGAAAACCGACGCTCCCGCAGCTCGATCCTTGAACATTTGATCGACTCTGGACACCAAGTCAAACCAGAAATAAACTTCAAAGTTATCTACAGAATACAAGACAATCTTGCTAAAAGTGTACGGATCAAACTTCTCCACATCGCAGAAGCAATGGCAATTCATCTGCTAAATCCTGAACTCTGCATACAAAAGAAATTCGTTCATTCATTAAATCTACAATGGACGTAATCTTTCTTAATTTCAGTCTTACTAATTGTATTATTTTGTCTTTTTCATTTTATTTTATCACTTTATTATTTCACATCTTGATTTATATTATTCTCTACCCCACCCTTTTGTAATCTCTACCCTCATTAACAATGTTGCTAACTTGACCCACGTCCAATTTCTAGTCAACTATGTTACGTCACCCGATTAACTTACTTATTTTCAACTGTATTATTCTCTAACCCCACCCTTATTTAATTTTAACCACCACTCATTAACACTGTTGCCAACCTGACCTACTCTGAATTCTACTCAACTGTATTACGTCATCCAATTCACTTAATCAATTCTATTTTATTTTCTATCTTAACGTTTGTCTCCAAGCCAAATAACACTTACATTACATAATTATCTAAACTTTATAAATCTAATATACACACACACAAACAAAATTGTATATATATGCGATTGTACAGCTCAGTGAATGAATTCGCCGAAAAGAGTCTCTTCACTGAACGCCCTCTTTTCTTTTATATGACTGAATGGGGATTTTCAAGCTACTATTTTTAATTGTCCAATCGATACAGATCATAGATTTTACATGAATATAGGTAGAATTCAAGATTCAAGTGTCATTGAATTCCAATCCAGTGGCTGAATGATGATAATCAGTCTGGCTTCGTCACTTAAAGATGCTGCGTTTGCCCTCTAATGGGATCATAAGTGTGTATTGTTGAAGAGTTGTGAGCCCGGTATGAAACAGGTGTTCACTTCTCCTTGTCCTCCAATAACGCCCTCACTGAAGTCCATCATTATCGAAGTCTGTACTGTATCCAGACTCACTGACAGGTAAATGACTTTAGGAAAGGTCTGAAAGGCACCAATAAGTGAGGGCTTGTTTGCCACTAACGCTAATCAGAGATATCTATGTGTCACAATTTAAATATACGAATTACTAACAAAACCAACAACAATGTTACAATTTTCAACGTTTCCGGGAAGTAAATATAAAATAAGAACAAAGAACACTATCCAGCGTGGCTACAGAAAGGAAATAATGGCCATATAAGGAGTGCAATAATCGAACATCTCGTCAACACTGGTCATTCCATCTCAACGAACGCCTCCTTCAAAGTAATCTACAAAGTGAAGAACAACCTTCCAAAGACAGTACGATTCCGTCTTCTTTGTATCGCAGAAGCCCTAGCCATCCAGTTGGTGGAACCAGAACTATGCATACATAAAAAAATTATCCAACCACTTCTACTCGCATGGTATAAGCTCTGTTGATTTGACCTAACTTTTCTTTGTTTGTTTGATTTGACCTTACTTCTGTTTGTATGCTTATTTTTCTAACTTAAAACCCTTGTGTAATTCTGTATATTATTTTGTTTCCATGTACACCCTTTGAGCACAACTCATTCATCAAACTATTCATGCCATTGCGTAACTCTTATTTAACAATCATTTATGACAACTCATCACTTTTGTTACTATCCTCTTGTATCAACATCCAATTCATCTGAACTTACTAATTGTATTTTCGTTTGACAAATTTAATGTATACACACACACAAAATAACCATATATATTTGCGATTGTACAGCTATGAAAATGAATTCGCCGAAAAGAGACTCTTCGCTGAACTACTTGTCTTCTGTCTACTAATGTTCGAATGGGAATTATTCATGAATATAAAATGAAACAAATATTAAATTTGTAAGAAAGTTGCAGAATTATCTCCTGTCAACGGCTAAATTAATAAAATAGCTAAGTGTATGAAAGACAATTCAGTGAAGAAAATTTTATTAATATAATTTCGTTAATTTATTAATTTTTATTATAATATAATTATGGTGCCGCCAACAACTCTACATCTCAACCAACAGTTGAAAGGCAATGCTGAACGCCAAATAATCCACAAAAAGGAAACTCACAGAATCTTTCGAAGAAGTGAAGACGGGAGTAAGACAAGCCTGGCTTGCTGCCGACTATCTCCAGTAATTTTCCTGACTGTGGGAGACTGAGTCATTCAGCAGATGGCGGCGGAAAAAGACGAGATAGGCATAAAACAGACCCACACAAAATCACTTGGGGGATATGGAATTCGCCGATGATACACATATATATACAACTGATTTCCAACAAACTGGAAGATATGAAAGTGAAAAGAAACAAGTTGGCGATAGAAGAAGCATACAGAGAAGACAGAACTTCAGGTGAACATAGAGAAATCAGAGGTGGTGAAGATTCCTGGTCAATAGCAAAAGCCACAGCAACTACAACAACAGACAACAATCAGCACAAAAGGAAGAAATTGGAAAGAAGCTACCTCATTCACCTACCGATACGGGAAGCATCGTTTCAACTACAGGTGGTTGGAACTGATAAAAATGTCAAAGCGAGGATCCGGAAAGCAAAACAAGCTTTCATTACTCTCAGGTCTGTGTGGAGATCAACAGCATTCAGCATCAAAAATAAGATCCGGATTTTCAACTCCAATGTGAAGTCAGTGCTAATTAATATACGGATCAGAGACTTGGCGGTGCCCCGCCTCACGAAGGACAGTTCGAACAAACTACACACCTTCATCAACAGCTGTCTTCGCTTAATACTACTCAAGATCAGATGGCCTGACAGAAAGCTTCAGCAATAGTGAGGGATCTCTGGCAATCAACGAACCAACCAACCCAGCAGGAAGCAATTGTGCGACAAATATGGAGGAAGAAATGAAGGTGGACTGGAGGCCATACTCGGAGAAAATCATCAGGCAACACCCATCACACTCCAGGCCATCGCTCGAGTGGAGCCCGAACGGGAAGTGGTGAGTTGGTCATCAGTGGAAGGGTGATACAGAGGAGGTTACGTTAAGAGGGAATGAGAACGTGTGGGCAGACGTGGAGCCAGGTGAAAAAGTTTGCGGCGAACCGAACGCAATGGAGACGTGCCCCTGAATCCTTATGTCCCAATAGGAACAAATGGAAACAATAATAATATATATAATATAATTATATATAATATTTGATTATTATAATATAATTTCATATTATTATTTTATCATATCTATATAGACATATATTGATTAATATAAGGGCCAGACTCGCTTCCACTAACTTTCAGTCCATACATCGCCATTGAGATACTTACCAGATTTTAGTTAATTTTATCCCTCTTCATGGATGCGACCAGCGAAGAAGGGACTTTTCTCTATACTTTGATTAATAATTCATCATAAGCTAACAGTCTTATTATTATTTCCTTGGGTTCCAAGTACAACAGAGAGCTTCAACAACACTTCCCGATTGTTCCATTTTCTGCCATCTTTTTCAGCTGGATCCACGATTGCTGATAAGCTGTCATCACCTCCACTTCCCATAACTTCCTCCATGTCATCCTCGCATCAACGACACACTCGTCGCTTCCAATTCATGTTCCACTCTAGCAATCATATGCATTGAGCCTGATGGCATTCGACGGCCTCCTTCCTCAGCGTATACCCAATCTATCTCCATTTTCTCTTACATATTCATTGAGCGTTCGAATCTTGGTTGGTTTGTTCCAGC